ATCATCCAGCCTAAACGTGGAGGTCCAGCTCCGAGGGCATTTCGGCAGTTCCCACACTGTGAGAAGTGAAGTTGCAAGAAACCAGGCAGAGGGCCTTCTCGGTGGTGGCGCCTGCTCTATGGAATGCCCTCCCACCAGATGTCAAGGAGATAAACAAATGACTTTTAGAAGACATCTGAAGGAGGCCCTGTATGGGGAAGTTTTAATGTTTGGTATTATGTGTCGGAAGTTACCTAGAGTGGCTGGGGCAACCCAGCCAGATGGGTGGAGTATAAATAATAAAATTATTATTATTATTATTATTATTATTATTATTATTATGCTTGTGGGCTTCCCTTTGAGGCATTTGACTGGCTGCTGTGGAGATAGGAAGCTGGACTTCTTATGTGCTTAAATGCCACAAGAGCGCACCTCTCTGCATCCAGCCCCTGGGAATCATGCACCTCACAGGTCTGAAAATGTGATGTTTGAAAGAGGCTGTGCTTTTCTTTTTCAGGTTTATTTGGAAACCTGTTTAAAATCGAGCCTTTTGCTTCTGCGCCGAGAGGGAATTGGTTTTTTTCTCCCTCCTTCCCCCGTCGAGAACCTGTGAGCAAAATACAGATTGCCTATATTGGCTGCGGGGAATTGGACCAAAGGAAACCAGCGACGAGGAAGGAATTCTCTGAGATCACTAATGTCCTGGCGACAAGACAGCGCAATGGAAAGGAGGGGAAACAACAGAAAAGAAAGAATCAAATCAAATCAAATCCCTCCCAAACCCCCAGATCTTGGCAAGACCTTGGGAGGATATTACTATTTATCATCTTGGAATAATTCCTGGATTTTGCCAAACAGCAGCCTTGAGTGGCAAAGAGGGAGAAGGAGACCTGAGCTTGTTTGGTGTCACAAAACAACCAACTCCTTCTAAAGCTGGAACCAGATTCCACCCCAATCTTTGCACCTGATTTGGCTATCTTCTGCTCCCCAAATCCAAAAGGCGTTGTTGGGGTGTTGCTGTCCCTAGAAACTGCAACAGACGGCTGCTGCTGTGACAAGGTCCCGGTGCCACAGCACATATTGATTAGCAATTTCGTCCCCTATGCCCAGTGCAATTGCATTCCCCATACATTCAAGGAGAGTTGGGGGGGCCTCCCTCCGAGTTTTGCAAAAAAAATAAATATGACCGATTTTTTTGCTATCATCTGCTGAGAAAACAAGGGGCAGAGTCTTCACACTAGGCCTGCTTGCCAGGAGGAAGCGGGTATCTGTTTTGACCCAGGGTATGAAGAACATAGAACTGCAGAATTGTAGATGTGGGTGGGACCCCCAAATCCAACACCCTGCAACTCAGGAAACGTTCGCCCAATGTGGGACCCGAACCCACAACCCTGAGATTAAGAGCCTCATGCTCTACGGACTGAGCTATGCGGTAGCAAAGCTGCCGGTTCTCAGCTCTCAGAGGTGGTACGGTGCAATGGGTAGCGTGGTGGAGGAAGAAGCAGCGTGTGCTGGGTTCAAATTGCCTTCTGTCAACAAAGCTTACTGGTTGACCTTGGGTGCCTCTCTTTTCCTGAAACACTGCCAGTTAGTGCAGGTAACACTAATTTTGATGGGCCAAAGGATCTGAGCTTCTGGTAACCCTGTTCAAACCAGAATCTTGAGGACCAACATCTTTTCATTTTAGGGGGGGAAGGCCCCACAACTCAGCAGTGAAGTCCCCTGCTTTGCACACACACACAAAGTCACAGGTTTGAGGCGTCTCCAGAGAGAGACCCCCCTCCCAGCCAGAGACCCCCAGAGAGTCTCTGCCCGCCAGCGTCCAGCAGCCCTGAGCTAGACCGTCTCCTCTGATATAAATCAACTTCCCAGGCCGAGAGCTACCAAATCCTTTCCCATTAAGAAACAAAATTAAACGCAGAACGGCCAAGAGCCTGGCACAGATGGGGTTCCTGGTGGCTTTGGGCCACCGGAATGCAGTAGCATGGGCTCATGTGTGCGGAGGAAGGATATCGATGTAGAATCACAGACTCGTGGAGTCGGAAGGGACCCTGAGGGTCATCTAGTCCAACCCGCTGCAATGCAGCTGCCCCGTACGGGGATCGAACCTGCAACCTTGGGGTTCTCAGCATTTACTGTAACCAGCTGAGCTATCCAGTGAATCTTCCAGTATCTATATCTATAGCTGTAGTACAGACCAGCTCAATGGAAGGATTACTGACTCCCAGCATGAATTGGCAGAGGACCGTGGCAGGATTACACCCGTCCACCTCTCTGCTTTCCTATCTTGATTTATGAGCCACAAACAGGTCCCGGGGCCCAGAGCCTGTCTGAGCATGACATCCCATCGACAGGCTTGGTTCTTTTTTGAACAACTGCTCAGCTGCGCCTGTTTATTCCAGAGCGGGCGATCGGAGGCCTCTTGCATCAATCACCAGCATTAGAAGCCAGCGGTCCTGGGCTTAGAGCCGAAAAGCCTAATTACAGTCACCATTCCCCTCAATTAAAAAACCCACCCTGTTGGGTTGTGCCTCACTCACGGGGACTGATCATCTTGAGCAAGCAGTGCCTTTCATTTCAGTATGTCTACTCTGAGTAGGGCTAACATTGGGTTCAAACTGAACAGGTGTGGGAAAGGAAAAGTTCAGTGTGTGTGTGTTCCCCCAAAACAGAAGGGTTTTACCCACCCCAGTTTCCTGTCTCCAACAGTGGGATGCAAAATGGACACCCACTAATTCTTTGTCTGTAGACTACCCCTGGATACAGAGGCTTTCGCTCTAAAATAAGAACTGGGGTGGGGGGTGGCCTTGCTGGGACTGGGGCAAAAGGACCACATCCTGCTGCCAAACAGGAGACAGATCCGTGTCCTCAGAAAGGACACCAACATGGAATAAAGGCGATGCTGCCTTCCTAGTCCCCGGCGGCTGGTGCTCAAAGGTAGACTATGTCTATATGGAGAGGCTCAGTTACACTATAGAGTTGGGAGGGACCCACAAAGGTCATCCAGTCCAACCCCTTGCAATGCAAAGGCTAATAAGGAGCTGACAGAACCTTTTAAGGGCAGAAGCAATGAACTTACAGGGCTGTTGTTATTTTTTATTCCTGCATTGCGGAGGGCTGGACTAGATGACCCTTGGGTACATCATCACCATCAGAATATATATTTCCGTTCATTTCAAGAAGAAATACCAAGAGAGGTCTCCGTCTAGTCCAGCCAACCAGGGAAAGGGAAATCCTTCCCTGATTATCCTTGACCACTTATTATCCACCCACAACCTCCCTCTTAGCATGGGTGCAAAATGGGCATTTGCGATCGACATATTTGCCTCAAGCTTCCAGCTTCAGATGCAGCCGACCTCTCGAGGGGAAGGAGGACCGAACAGGCAGCTGGCAACACTGATGGAGGAGGAGGAGGAGGCTCACAGCCTTCCCCGGTCCTTTCTCTCCAGCCGAGGTAGACTGCCCCTGCAATGGAAGTTCGCCAGGTGTACTCACAACTCAGGGACTGCCTGCTCTGCTGCCTTTTGCCAGCCTCTGGTGCTCAGAGGTTGACTTCTCCCAAACATGGAAGCTTAGGGATCGAAGCAATAAAAGGATTATTAATCATAGCTAATAGCTGCAGACATTCCTTGCCATTTCTCCCTCTGTGTCCAGGACCCTCAGGTAAACTTGACCCCGGACATAACAGCCGCTTGGGCTGCAATCCTTTACCTGCTTACTCAGGAGTAAGCCCCATGGCTTCAAGTGGGACTTAATTCTGAGTGGACATGATTCCTGTATTGCAGAGGGTTGGACTAGATGACCCATGGGGGTCCCTTTGAATTCTACAGTGCTATGATCCTATGCGAAGCCTTACATACAATTAATACAGCACAGTTAATTAATAAGTTATGTAAGCAATAATAACTCTTGAATTATGAGAAAAGAACACAATACTGCATTATAAAATGGTACGACGGCCACAATCACAGCAGTATTAATGAGTTGCGCAAGTAATAAGAATAACAAGAATTTCAGGACAATAAAAAATAATAGATCATATTACATTATTACCATTCGTAATGTAGCTGTAACCATCTGTGGACTTGGCATATGATGGGTGGAGAAATATTTTAAATTAATAGCCACGTTTAGCCTGTGCGCTGCCTGGGTGACTCCAAGATAGACTGCTCCTGACTGTGGATGTTCCTAGACACCAACCATGCAAAGCTGTGATCCTTGCACTGCAAGGGGGGGGGCCCTTGAGGTTCCTTGCAACTCTACAATTCTATCATCTGTGAGCAGCATCCTGTGAGCAGGCTCTCTGACAAGGGAGGGCTGCCTTCCTCCTGAAGGGCAATGACAGCCTCATTTAGCTACCTGTCCCTGATGCCTCTCCAAGGTATACTGCCCTTGAATGTGGAGGTTCAACCACATAACTAATCAAAGCTGCGGTTTCTGCACAGATGGGTGGGCACTGCCCCACATGACCCACAAAGTCCCTTCCAGGTCCATCACTCAAGGAACCCAACCAGAAGGTCGGTTATTTGAGCCCAAGACGGCTGTGGGCAGGATTCCTGCGCTGCAGGGGGTTGGACTAGATGACCCTTCCAGCTCTTCAATTCCATGATCCCTAAATCCAGTGTTATTTTTATAGAGAGAGAGGCACCAGAACTCACCATGAACACCTCCCTTGTTCTCTTATAATGGGAATGGGGCGTAGCCAAGGGTGGCAGGGGGCAGCTGCAGCCCCCTAAATCAAGTAAATAAGTACAAATACTTAACTACCGGTAACTGACTAATTGTTTCACAGAGCTCGGTTCTGCCTCCGAATCATAAAACCTGACCCCACAACATAAATCCTTGCTACGCTCATGGCGCCCACATGAGAGGTTTCTGGTGAGTTCCAGCTGGGAAAAAGCCCTGCCCAAGTCAATCTGTAGCCTGCTTGCTCCTGGGCTGGTAGACTGCTCTTGCCCTAGGAGGCTCTCCATCGGGGAAGATTTTTTTTAATGAAAAAGCGGAGGTGTTTTTCTCCTTACCCGGCTCCTGAAGGGCATGGGGGTCTTCGCACTTTGTCCCCCTCTGCCTTCCTCCTCCTCCTCCTCCTCTTCCTCCTTCCCGGATGCTGACGAAGGGGATCTCCAGGAAGGCGGCGGCGAAGTCCAACTGGAGCAGCTCCCTGCGGGACGCGGGGAAGGCGAGCACGGCGGCCACTCCGCGCACCACCAGCGCCTGGCACAGCCAGCGGGCCAGCGAGGCCGGGTCCCTCTGCCGGGGCGCCCCGGGGACCACCTCCAGGCTGAGGTTGTAGGGCAGCGCGGAGGTGGCCGTGCGGCTGGCGCGGGCCAGGGCGTTGCGCGCCCGGCTCTCGGCTTCGCCCGCGCGGGGAAGCAGGGCGCCCAGGCGCACGGTGTGCCCGATCCGTGCCAGGATGTGGCAGGGCTGCGGGTGCCCCCGGGCCGCCGGCTGCCCCGCCAGCAGCAGCGACAGGCACCACCAGCAGCAAAGCGCCCGGCGCCTCTCCATAGGGCAGGGCGCGCAAGGCGCAGGGGCGCGCAACCCCTGCGCCCGCCCCCCACCCGCGCTGGGTGGGGGTTCCCCTAAGGAGGCAGCCGGGAGGGGGTCTCCCAGGGCCCGCCCATCAGGGGCCGCTGAAGTGGGGCAGAGCAGGAGCAGAGGGAAAGAAAGTGAGGTCCCCCCCGCCCTATCCAAACGCTGCCGCCGCTGCGCCTGGGCTCTCGCGCTCTGGCTGCTGCTCGCTCGCTCCCAGGCGGAGCTGGAGGCTGCTCTGGCGGGAGCGCGCCGCTAGGGGCGGCAGAGGGCGACCCTGCCAACCTGGGGATGAAGATGGTATTTGGGAGATGATGGCACCCTCGCCAGCCTGTTGGAGAGGAGAGGCGCCGCTTGGCACGGGCGCCTAACGCGCCCCTAAGCAGCACACATATATAGGCTGCATCGGAAAGAGGTGTCTGCGTTTCGGCGAAGGAGATGCAGACGGCGCGAGGCGAGGAAGCGGAGAGGAGGGCGAGCCTGCCTCTGGGCATGCACAGAGCGCGGGCGAGGAAGAATGGCAGAAACCTAGAATGGCAGAGTTGGAAGGGTCATCTAGGTGAGGTGAGAGGTCTGCGCTTCGTCCAAGGAGATGCAGGCGGCGCGAGGCGAGCAAGGAGTCTCTGGGCATGCACAGAGCGCGGAGAGGCGGCGAGGGAGGAGCCCCGCTGGCGCTGTGGGGAGGGCATGCGGCAGGCAGAGCATGTGCAGAGTGCAGGGGGAAGGAGGGACGTGAGCTCGGCGGGCTCTGGGTGTGTGCAGAGTGCGGAGCGGGGAAAGGGGTGGAGGAATGAGGCAAAGCGAGGAAGGGGAGAGGAGATCGGAGATGCGAAGGGAATGGAGCATGTGCAGAGTGCAGGGAACAAAGGATCGGAATAGACGCTGCTGAGAAAGGAGGAGCGGTTGAGGGCGGGCTCCAGCTCTGTGGGAAAGCAGGCTGCGCGCGTGTGTGTCCATGGGCACGTGCAAAGTTCGGAGAAGGTGCTAGAAAGGCACAGAGGTGGGAGAAGACGGGCCGGGGCGCACCAGACTGTTCCAGAAACGCGGGTGGGGGGGGGAGTGTCAGATGAAAAGGAAAATAATCTCTGAGCATACACAGAGGGGCAGAGGAAGGCAGGGTTGGTGATGCCGACACTGGACATGGGCACCCAAAACCGCTAAAAAGATTGGCTAGCTCTGATCCAATTAGCCGAATTCACTAATTAGAGGTCAGTAGAGGGGCATTAGGTACCAAGGGCTTAGCCAGGATTTTTGTTGGGGGGGCAGAACCTCAATTAGCTATGTATGTTTATTGATTTTCGGAGGGTGGGCAGTTGCCCCCTGCCCCCATTGGTTATGCTCATGTTAGTAGAACAACAGAATGGAGCCTCCAGGTTCAGAAACAGTCTACCTCTGGAACAACAGGTGCTGAGATCAACAGAAGAGGGAAAGGTGTTAGCTTTCATTTTGGCTGCCCGCTGACAGAAGCAAGTTGCTGGGTTCAGCGTAAATTTTGCTCAGGCTCCGGGTTGCGAAAAGTGGAAAGAGCTGCTCTGAACATATGCAGAATGCCGTGCCCCCCCAAAAAAACTGTGTTCTTATTAAACTCCTGTTCATATTTAGAGTCATAAAATTTATAAAATTCACAAGGATACTTTTAAAACTCACATGATATACAAAAAAACTGATCAAAAGACTGGTAAATTGAGATATATGCACATTAATCTAGGAAAAAGCATTCCTCTCTCTTGCAAGGAAATGCATCTTCTAAAATTAGTAAAGGCATCTTCTAAAATGCTCCTTTTTAAAGGAAGACTCCAAAGTTGTTGAACTTTTTTAAGGAAACCCCAAAGTTGTTGGGCTATTTTTTTTTTTTTTACAAAAATGCCAAACCCCCCCCCCCCCACTATTTTCCTAAGATCCAGGATAAATTCATTCCCCCCCCATGTCAATTCCGCCTTTGAAATCCCCGTAATGTAGCAGCCCTACTAAAACATAAGCAGTTGTTTCACCATGTATTGCTTTGTTCTGTTTTCTTTTTTAATTGAATTTGTATGCAGCCATATTAATTAATTTTTAATTAATTTTTTTTTAAAAAAGAGGCAGCCTTCTATTTCTTGCCTGGGGCAGGGAATGCCTCTTTTTCAGTTGATGGACCTGTGACCTCTGGATAATATTACACTTCGTGTCCCATCATCCCCGACTGGCAGCTAAGGCTGATGGGAGTTGGAGTCTGTCAACCCCTTGAGCAGACGCACATCCCACCCCACTTCCCTGATTTCCCCACACCTTTAGTCTTACACAGAGGGAAAGCAAATCCCACAACAAACAGGTCAAGACCCAAATTCAGGATTTTAAGCAGTCTGCAAATGGTGGTCAGCCATGACAGCTAAGTAGAACCTCCTTGTTCAGCCACAGTCTATCTCCGAATTCCAGGCCCAGGGGACGTATGAAGTGGGGAGGGCTGTGCATTAACTGGGTCCCCGGAGAAGGGCAGCCGGTCAAACGGCCAGGGATGAGAAGCGCAGACACGCGTGCGGAGCGCCAGCTACAAAAGGCTTTCGCTGCTCTCCTCCTTTTCAGCGGCCTGTTGATGAATGCCGTCCCCATTCACTTCTCTCCTGTTTTATTTGGAGATCAATTCGCTTACGGCGGTAATTGTGTTTTCAACCTGCGCTACCCTTCGCTGTCACGGAAGCCCTTCACAGACCACTAGGGGATTTTGGCAAGGTGGCGAAATATTAAAACGCCGTTAGAGTCCGGGAGCTGCGTGAAAGCACCACCTCCTCACCAGGCCTTCCCCATCTCAGTTCTCTGTCTCCCTTTTTCCTCTCACCTTACTGAATCTTCCAGCCTCCTTGCCTGTGGACTCCCTTAAGCCTCCCTACCAGATGATGGTGGTGATGATGATGATATTTATATCCCGCCAGTCTGGCTGGGTTTCCCGAGCCACTCTTACAACACATATAAAAACATACAAATATCTCTGTTCGGCTGCACTCACAAATCCGGTCCTCCTTCGTGTGGCTCTCAGTGAGGTTTTAATCCCAGCCAAACTGACGCCTGCCCCTTCCCTCACAGAAACCGGACAGCTTACATTTGTGAGGTCACAGCCACTGGGCTGATTGGTGCTAGATGCTTCCCCGCCACCTAAGGAAAATATAACAGATTCATAATAATTAATATCTATTGGATATTAATCATGTTTGGCCTAGAAAAGAGGAGACTAAGATAGCCATCTTCCAATATCTCGAGCAAGGGCTGTCACAGGGAAGAGGGAGCAAGCTTGTTTTCTCCTGCTCTGGAGGGTAGGACTCGAACCCGTGGCTTTAAGATTCCAACTAAACCTCAGGAAGAACTTTCTGACATGAACAGCTGTTCTACAATGGAAGGTGGACTCTCAGGAGAAGGTGGACTCCGTCCTTGGAGATTTTTAAGCAGAGGTTGGGTGGCCCTCTGTCATGGGTGCTTTAGTTGAGATTCCTGCATTGCGAGGGGTTGGACTAGATGGCCACTGGTGGTCCCTTCGAATTCTACAATTCTATGATTCCACTGTTCAGAGAGGGGAAAACTGGAAACAGATTCTGAGTGCCATAAATAGCTTGACTGTATTAGTAATATAATATATATATGATAACACTTCCAATGTTCCGTTTACTAGTTGGCGGTTGCAACAGGCCTGCAAGGTAGGCTAATGTTCCCATATTTCAGATGGCAAAACTGTGGAGGCAGAGCAGAGTCACCAGGGTTAGAAACAAGCAACGTGAATTGCCAAAGTGAGATATAAACCGGGGGAATTCCTCGCCAACACACTTCGCCAGCCCTGCTTTCTCAGCTTCAGGTCCACACCCTCCAACATTTCTCTGATGAAAAAAGGGACACCCTATTTAGTAATAGTAGTAGTAGTAATAATAATAATAATAATAATAATACCCTTCCCATCTTGCTGGGTTGCCCCAGCCACTCTGGGCAGCTTCCAACACATATAAAAACATAACAAAACATTAAACTTTGAAAAACTTCCCTCTACGGGGCTGCCTTCAGGTGTCTTCTAAAGGTTGTCCAGTTCCTTACTGGAGGGTTGCAGAATTTCCTGGACATACGCAGAATACTGCGGTCAGAAGCAGTGTCCAGGCGGAAATTAGCAAAATGTCCGAACGTATGGCAACCCATGTCAGCAGTGCCGTTTTGGGCAATTTTACTTTTTAAAAAAGCTCAAAAACATCCTACTTATCTCCTTGTTTTGGTGGTCGCATAACTCTATACCCTCAATATCTCTGATGAAAAGTGGGACATTCTGAGATCAAATCACTTCTGTAAATCCAGAACTGTCCCTGGACAATAGGGGCAATTAGAGGGTCTGCAAGTTTCTAGATCTCAGGGCAACGAAGGGGATATGTGAGAGCCAGGGGAGATGGAAAAGTGTGCAAGACCTCCTTGCAAATAAATTTGTGCCGTATTCCGCAGAATAAGACAGTTTGTGGATGCACTTAAGATGCTCCGTTTTGTATGCAGGGCTGCGAAACTCTGGGGTTTTTGTGATGCAGAATTATTGCGGGTTTCCCTCCCTCTTGTTTTCGGTTGATGCTGTCCTCCTTGTTGGAACATTGTACGTAACAGCCCCGGAACGTGCTCTGCATGGCTAAAAGTCATAAGCCCCAGTTGAGAACCTTGAATAGCCTGACTCCATTTAGCTTTATCAGTAATGAAAGAAAGAGAGAGAGAGACAGAGAAGCCGCCTCTTGCTAATTTTACAATTTCCTTGTAGCACTTTGGAAAAGCCGGGCAACTCGGATTTCCTCACCGCTCCTCCAAAGCAGACGTCAAAACACACGGAAGGCTTTTTTGCACAGTGCAATTGAATGTCAGTCGCTGCTGCCCCTTGCACTTTTCCGAGCCAGATTCCTGCAAGTACATTGAATCGTTGACTCCACCTCCAGGAATAACCTAGGACTGGTCTGGTTTCTTTTTTCTTTTTAAAATGAATAATAGAATCA